TTCCATCAAGAGTGTCCGTCGTACAACGTGAGGCTATTCTCAACTTCATTGTTTGCCGATTTCCCCATATACCCGCTGCCTATGACCTTCTATGTATTATTATCGATGAGGCTGCTTCAAGCATCTACTCTCCGATCGCTGACCAAAAGTCCTTATTTTCAGTTAAAACTACCTCTTACATTTCCGCATCTGACATTTCAACGTATAGCCCCATCCCTCGTGACTACGACTCGCTGACAAATATTTGCCGTTCTGATAATGATTTGCAAACTGCCTTAAATATTGATGAGCAAAATAGAATTTCTTCTAAGTTTTCTTTGATCTCCGCAAACTGTGGTCCCATAACCCTAAACACTTATCCCGTATCTGAGTCTACAGTTGATAAAGCTGATCTTGACTATGAACAACAGCCTGTCGGAACTATTTTTACAACCGATAGTGATAATAACACGGAATCCGGGTTTTCTATCCCCTATAGGAGTGGCCAAAATAGTAGGATCAACAAGAATATCGAACTGCAAAATTCTGGATCTCCTTTGGGGCTTGCGCAAGGGACTCAATGGATAGCAGATTATGAAGCAGCGGAGCGTTGGCGATCTGCTTCTACTCAGGTATAAAATCTTAACATTATACAAAGACGTAACTGCTTAGAGATTTAATAAAACGGCGTACTATATCACATGCATATTTATATATATCTTTTAAAATCTCGTTTGTATTTCGTTCTTTGCTTCTGACTTTCTTAGCACTCTCTTAAGGCTCATCATTATATGGCATATACTTTATCATACTTCCTTACCTTTTTTTCTGACACCCCACTTAGTATTTAATGTTTTTTGACTTTCCTAGCTATACTTTCTTAACTATTATACTACATATATGAGTTGTATTCACTCGAGTTGTTTAAGTTGATGAAAGACTGGTAGTTGAATAGAGCTGACGTTTCCATTGAATCTCGCATAGCCTTACTTTCCCGAAGGTTGTTCTCATCCAGGGCTGACTGCATCTTCGATCTTGCCCAGATCTTATCATCACCCCCAGCGGGAGTCGAACTATGACAGTGTGGCGTGTAATCTGGATACGTTAACCACTACGCCGAATTGCCACGAGTGCCTTAGAGTTACAGGGCACATGTGAATTTTAAGGAAGGTCAGGCATTTTCCATATCGCAATCTGTGTTGGGATTGTCGATGAAGCAAACTTATGTTTGCTATAGCAATCGAAGACTAATTTTTTCGTTAGTGGGTAGATTTTATAGACTACTGCCCTGTGATCCAAGGATCCTTATGGCAATGCAGGGTAATGGTCAACATATCGAGCTTACACGCTGCACTGTCATTGCTCTATTTCCGCTGGGGGCGTTGATAAGACCTAGGCGAGGTCAAAACTGCAGTCCACTTTTGGATGAGAACAACTTTTGGGCAAGGAAGGCTATGTGAAATGCAATGGGAACATCAGCTCTGCTGATATCATTGTGGAAAAATTCAAATACCAATCATTCATCACCTGAAATGAAATAGGGTGAACACAACTCATATATATGATTTATTGGTAGTCTCGAAAACCTATTCACTATTATGTTACACTCCTTACTCTCTTTACCTCTTCCATCGTCTCTTCATATCTCTCCTCAATCCTATGATTTCATAGAACGCTTAATCACCTTGTTTTTTTATTTTTATACAGCCATGCCTTTTTTTTCAAATGTTGAACTCAGATCCTGCGTAATCTTCTACCTCAGCTAGCCAGAGGTACGGCCAGGATTGACTCTCGACAAGCTCTTGATGCTCTTCTTCGAGTTTTTGCTCGTCTTTCTGGGCACTGGTCTGTACCGTCACCTGAGAATGATAGTGAGTTTGGCAAAACTAAAGATTCATCTAAAAAGAAGCACCTTTTACAAAGCAGAAACCAGCATTGTGTACGATTGCGACCTTCGCTCTGTATCTTTCCTCAAAAAGATACCAGAGCAAGTGTCATCCCTTCTGCCGATTTGTACAGTCCTGATTCAACAGAACATCCGTTGGAAGCTACTGGCTCAGAAGTAGAGGCGATGAAGCCTAGCAAACACAAGAAAGCGCATGATATTTATGAGGATGAGGCAAAAGGAAAACGAGATGGGGAGAATAATAAGGAAGCAAAGACAGCACAATCGGAGCAAAAGTGTGATATGAGGAAAGGATATCTTGAAAAGTTATTGGTTACAGATAATCCGCCTGAGAAGAAAGAGGAATATTGCAAAGATGAAGACCGCGATGAGCTGACTGATGATTCAGACGCCTTGGATGAGGCGGAATTGCACGAATGCCTTTCACCAGCTGTGCCCGATGAAGAAGCAGATCTTGAGGATGGGGCGGCCACTAAATATGTGTCCTGTACACAATACCAGGGCCCCAGTCCCAGTCAGAGCTGGACGTTGGACTCTCTCTTGACTCGGGTTGTGGACATTATGCTTATGGACCCACTTCGTTCGTCACCCCCAGTTCAAGTATGTTTTTGTTGCTTTTTTTACTTCTATTGTGTAAGTCCAAAATGTTTACTGTATGTTTCGCATTAACTGATTAGAAAGTGTCTTATTGTGGATCTACCTATTCTTACTGATAAGCCTATCTGTGGGTTGATTCTTATCCTTAGATATACACTTTGGCCAATGATAGTCAATATTTTCTGGTCTGCTATAGAATGAAGCTTCCTTTCTCATATGAAAGATATCCTTAGAGCTCATTCTTATAACAAGTTAATACATCAAGGCTCGGTGTATCGTGGAATGTCTGAACTTGAGCATATCAATAAAACAAAACAAAAACATAGAGACAGGAATCCGCAATCGTCTTCTAATGAGATAGATTTGCATATTTATTATTCACATACACCTACATAACATAAAAGTTTGTTCGATTTTGCTAAATAATTAGTTTGAATTATTCTCTTTCTATCCATAACTCTTATTTTCAGACAAATGGTGTAAGCTATGTCATATTTCTAATCCAGATCTCCAAAGAAATGTCTCTTGCTTAAAGGGAATTCTGCGAAGGCTTTCCTAACTTAATGCCACAGTTTATTTAAAATGAGCTATTTTTGTCTTTT